CAAGCGAACGCGTTTGGGCCCAAATAGAGACTGAAGTAAACTGAACGCTCAGTTGCTCAAACTGGCAGCGCAAAAGCAAACGCAAAAGCAAAGACAGACTGGCTGACACCGACTGGTTATTGTGGTTGTTGTTGCGGTTGTTGCGTTTGTGCTTGTGTCTGTGCTTGTTGCTGCCTATTTGTTTTGCACGATCGCTCGCTGAACCGAGTTCTTTTCGGAACCAGTTTCTTGGCCAATACTGGCACCTGTTTCAACACCCCTGGTTTCAAACCGCTGGTTTTCCACCTTGTGCCTGCCTGTCCCATGCTACCCAATATGCGAGGACTAACGTCTTGCGCATTAATGAGTTTCCAAATCCGAAAATGCCCTTTTTATGTGCGAACGTAATTCGGAAATACGAATCTCTGCTTCCTCTTCCTCTCAGCAAGATGTTGCTGATTCACCTGTTGCGCGGCTAGCAACTCTGCACTAGCAACATGTTGCCGTCGGGAGTTGTTGCAATGTTGCGATTGCATTCAAACAAACGCCACTTAATTCAGTGAAAATCGTGGCTAATTATCCAGAGCTTTCGTTAATTCTAACTAACCACGACAAGCAGGATGGATGGATGGATGGATGGGTGGCTCAAGGTCGAGGCTTTAGGAAACCTTCCCCTCGACTTTGAACCGCGTTCGAAGCGCGGTTTGAACAAACACACTCGAAGATCCATTAACGATGCACCGCTAACAGGGCGCCACTGGCCACTGGTTCAAAGTACTGCAAAGCGCTGCAGCCAGCCACTTCCTCTATTTGCCAGTTAAATAGCCGCAGGCCAAGCGAATGCAGCTCGTGTGAGTCAGCGGGTCAACACATTTTAGTACAAAATTAACATACAAAGTTTATTCCGCATTACAGGTAACATTACATTATAATAGTACAAGTTAAGATCGCTGCTTATTGGTGGGCATTGGGTTTATTTTTAGGCGTACTTGGCCACCAGGCCCTCCACGAAGCTGATGTACTCCTGCTGGGCGGCCTCGCTGCTCTTGCCCTTCTGCTTGTTCCACGCCTCCCACTTGGCCTTGCCCTTCAGGTCCAGGAGACCCGGCTTGGCGGTGTCGTTGTCACCCACGCTGGCCTGCTTGAAGAGGGCGTACAGCTGGAGGAACTCATCATCGCTGGGGCGCTTGGTCAGGCTCTTCACCTTCTCGGCGGCGGCGTTGAATTGCTAGGGATAGATGGAAAGCTATGTTAGTGGAGATCTATCAAGCTGGTCAATTAATGATATATTAGTTACACATTGTAAGCAGTCTTAGTGAGACCTTTGCAAGCCACTAACAAATATTTAAATATATTATAACAAAATTATAACTATTGATTTCAACTGAAAACTGTGATTCTTTAAAACAAAATCTTATTTGAAAAGCTGTCCCCGATTTAACGGAAGCACAATCTTATCTCATAGCACGACAAGTTAGTTTAAGAAGGAAAAGTTCATCGTTTTTGAATAGATTTCGATCAGTGTACAGCAATCGAACAGGTGATTAGCGGCAAGTCTATCAAGCAGCTAAGGCCCCAAATTCGTTAGACTGCTGTTATCAGTGCATTATCAGTTGGGAAAAGCACTTACCTCGGAAACCATTCTGGGTTAGATTTTATCTGCAAGTAGCGGAATTGTAAAAAACTTTAATTAGACATGTTTATAAAGTAGTTAGCTTAATGTGTACTAGCATAATAGGTAAAACCAGTTCCGCATGAAGATGCTGGCTGGCTGGCGTGTGCCAAACAGAGCCAGCTGGAAGTGACCTTTGGCCCCGTGGGGCGATCTCGACCTCAAAGACCCACCGAATGTTTGCTAATGGCTGTTTGTTTGTCGCACCGCACCAGCATCTTCGACTTTCTCCCAGCAGCAGTACATAATTCGAGTAGAACTGGGTAATTATGATGCGGAAGCAAACAGCAGACGCAAATGTTTGTCTCGGCGGCGAGATTTTTGAAAGGGAGCGGGCCACCGTTGGCGGCCGCTTTTGGCCGGCGAATTTCGACCAATTTGGATACGGACGTGGGCTTTGTACGTGTCGAGCACTGAGCAAAATAAGTGACACATATGGTCGTGCCAAGTTATGGCTACAAAAGCTTGCAGTCCCAAAATAAGCAATCATTTAAAGGCGCTCATTTAGTTTATGGGCGTTGCAAATGGCAAAAAGTCAAAGTGGCAAGGTTTTGAAGTATGGCATGTTCTGGAATATGCGTTTCGAAGCCGATTTTTGCACAATATTTTTCTCAGTGCCTGTTGCTTGGCGAATTTCCATAATTGAGTTCTGCTGCAGGTGTAGAAGCTCGCACCAAATGTCCACTTTACGTGTCACATCCACAATTAGTGAGCACTGATATTACCACCTATCAGCTATCAGCAGCTGTGTAATTGAATTTAAACTAAACACTTACTGGTGTGTTGGCTGCCACAGAACTAAACAGTGTCTGAATTCCAATCCGGCGGTGACTTTCAATTTAAGTCAGTCCACATCGCACGATCGCCCTCAACGAGAAAGCTTCTCCCCAGTGAGCAAAATAAGAGAGGGGAAGCTCCATCTGAAAATTCTCAGTGGATCGCGAAGCTTTCGGTGAAGTGGGTTAGGCAATCGCGCTGGTGATAATGCAGGTCTACTGATAACGATTTCGATTCCCTGATAATTCGTCCAACCAAACCGCTGCCAAGACACGTAATCTCGTTCGGATCAAAGTTCGAGGGGTCCCACCTCTCCCGAATCCCCAGCCAGTCGCACTATAATGCACGAAAGCTCCAATAAAATGCTGCCCGCGGTACAAACACCTGATTATTGCTCATATCTCTGGTAATCTTTATTGTTCAACTAAGTAGTAGTGATGGCAGGTGCATGGGGGGTCCGGAACCGTATCGCATCGGATCGGATGCCGGATTAGGCGTACTTGGGGGCATACTTCTCGTACACCTTCACGTAGGCCTCCTTGGCGGCCTCCTTCGAGAGACCCTTGTTGGAGCTCCAGGCCTCGTACTTGGCCTTCTCCTTCAGAGCCAGTGCGCCGGGCTTGTCGATGTTCACATCGCCAACGGTGGCCTGCTTGAAGAGACCGTAGAACTCCAGGAACTCGGCGTCGGTGGGCTTCTTGGTGAACTTCTTGGCGAGTTCACTGGCTTCCTCGAACTGTGCAGTGGAGCGAGGTAAGCGATTATTATGGGAATCAGTAATCATATAAGTGAATAATATGGGAGATTCCTTTTGGGCAATCTTTCACTTATTTGATGATATATCCAAGGTGCAGAATACTTACCGAGACCATGTTGTTAGTATAGGATTCTGGTTGGTAGTGCTGAAAATTGGATAGTAATAGTCCCAATTAAAAAGAGTGCAACCGAAAGGATCCTTCGCTAATGTGCTTACCGCTGAAAAACCAAAGACGATTGAATACTTCTGGGCCTTCCATTCGCGCTTTTAAAGCATTGAGACCCTTTCATTTCTCTATTGGTTTATTGGGCCAAGTCACATATTTCCATTTTGCTGGTAATCAGCAGATATCGATATCTTTATTTCACTAATTTCGCTGCCCAGCTACAATCGAGCGACATTGTCAAAGGTAGCGATATTGAAGATAGCCCCGGATACACTTATCGTTCATTGCATGTTCTGGGAGCCAAGGGCACACTCCTGTCGGATTCACCTGTGAATTAGTCTCCGGACTTTAAAACTCTTACGATTAGTTTAATTATCTATTGCTGTGGAAGAGTTTGTGGCTACTTGGTCAGCATCAGCTGATTATTGCAGAATTGTGCCCCTTCTTATTTAACTACTTCAAGCACGTTCCGGGAAGTAATAATTAATTTTTTATACACACACATGAACATGAACATGGATGGCCGGAATTCGATTTTCTCTTAACAAATAATTATGTTCACTTCCTAAAAGTGCGCTACGATTTTGTAGACAATTTTTCTTAGTGAAAAACTAAACTTTGTTATTGTATGATGTATATTTGATTTAACATTTTTTTTACTTTTTATAATAATTGTAAATTTCTATCGATTTGCAATTCTCTAAAAATATGCATACAAATTTCGAAATTTATTTTTTTGTAATTTTATTGTAATTTTCTGATGTACAACAGTTAAATTCAGTTGAAATTCAAAAAAATAAAGAAATTTCCCAAGGCTGAAGTTCTAAACTCCATAAGTCAACTTATCTTAATCGGATTTTGAAGTGGCATACCTCTAAATGTTTCTGGCGCAATTCTCTAAAAATCTGCATTCAAATTTAAAAATTAATTTTTTTTTAAATTTTTTGTAATTTTTTTGATGTTGAAATTCAAAAAATTAAGAAATGTCCCAAGGCTGAAGTTCTAAACTCCATAACTCAACTTATCTTAATCGGATTTTGAAGTGTTTCGGATACCTCTAAATGTTTCTGGCGCAATTCTCGAGAAAATGTTGAAATTTCTCGTTTGCACTTCCACGAGCTGAGTAACGGGTATCTGATAGCCGAGGAACTCGACACTAGCATATTATTTTGTTTTTGTAGTATTTAACAGGAAGCACCCATCACCGTATTGTTGATTAGAAATCCAATCAAATCAATCATTTACAATCTTACACGTAGTCTTCCGATGAGTAAGTTTTTCGCAAAAATACATTAGTAAATTATTATGACAATGGAGGTGGAAAATTCCCAGAAAGAACTAAGTTAGAATTTGAAAAATTCAACAAATTTAAATATAACTTTTAAATTTATTTATGTCGCCAAAGATATTACAATGGTCTATCAAAGATGTGATGCCAGGTGGGCAGTCACATGAGTAGTAGAAGAATCAGATAATTATGATGTGGGTAATATTATATTAATCATCTCATGCTTGCCAACGAAAACGATTAAAATAAAAATAAAATTTTTATATATGTACAATTTCCAACCCGATACAGCCTAATCAGATTAAGATAGGTATGGAGTGTGTCACCGCGAGTGGAAAGTTAAAGGAGAATGCCGTTTGCGCTTGGTTTAAATGCATACGTGTTTGTTTGGTTTATTATAAAATTACAATAAATACAGAGTTACAACAAATATCCACAATCATCGTTAGAAGGACACATGAAGGGGTCTAGACTAGGGTTGTGCTTATTCGTACTGGGCAGCGTACTTCTTGTAGACCTCGATGTAGTAGGCTTTGGCATCATCGGCGGTCAGGCCGGCCTTGCTCTTCCAGGCGTTGTAGCGGGCCTTCTTCTCCTCGTCCTCCGGCTCCTCGATGTTGCAGTCGCCGACGGTGGCCTGCTTGTAGTAGCCGTAGAACTCGAGGAACTCCTCCTTGCTGGGCAGGTTCTTGAAGTTCTTGGCCTTCTCGACGATCTCCTCGAACTGAAAACGAGGATGGTGCAAAACGAAATGGTTACACAAACAATCGCATTTTTGCTTGGCGGCGTAAAACTTACGGTAAGCATGTTGGCGGCTAGTTGGTTTCGGTAAACAAAAACAATCTGTGCGGATTTCGGGGTGAACACCGTTTATATATGGGCAAACATGGCTCACACCCTTCGCTAATCTTATCTGGTCACCCACTGCAATTGTAGTTCCCACCTTATCAGAAAAGTACCTATATATTGAAGTAATCATGAAAAGTGAGAGTTCCTCTTAGGGGCAGTGAAATATATAATTAGACGGCAGCTTATCAGCGCTCTTGCACTTGCCAAAAAAGTGGAGTGAGCCATATGCAGAACCCATATAGCCATATACCCACTATCTGATTGATTGATTGGGCCGAGCCCCAGCAAGTACAGAAATCTGGATAGCCAAAACCCCAATACTTTAATTAAGTGGCTAGCCAATATTTTTCAGAGTCATGGGCTGTGATTTACACCTAATTCACGTGAGTCAGGTGCTGTTATACGTTATCATGGTGAAGTCGTACGATCTGTTACTAAGAATAGTTCTTCGGCCTTCTATGGTAGGTAGATAGTAGTATCTACTCCTAAGGTTCCCCAAAAAATATTAATTAAACTATTTGAGCGGCATTATGGATACCAAGTTGAGCAATGCACCTGGTACATATTCAAACTAATTAAATTTCCTAATATCAATTGGAATGGCCTATATAAGGCCGCTGTTGGCGGTGAGAGCTAACCTAGTATCCACTCACAAACTCAGCAAAATGGTCAGTTTTGAGGAAGCCGCCGAACTCGCAAAGAACTTTTCCAAGAAGCCCACCGACTCCGAGTTCCTGGAGTTCTACGGTCTCTTCAAGCAGGCCACCGTTGGCGATGTGAACATCGACAAGCCCGGCATTCTGGATCTCAAGAAGAAGGCCATGTACGAGGCCTGGAACTCCAACAAGGGTCTCTCGAAGGAGGCCGCCAAGGAGGCCTACGTGAAGGTGTATGAGAAGTATGCCCCCAAGTACGCCTAAGGCCCGAGCTCAGGACTATTCTCCATCTGACAAATAAACTCGAAATCTTATTATGAATATCCAAGCTGCTTACATACATATTTCGCTTAGAAGGCCGCCTCGGATTGGGGCATCGAAACGGCGGCTGCAATGAGTGGCTTGGCCTGGCCGGCCTTCATCAGCATCACCCGGATCAGGGAGTTATCCGGTGTGAGGCTGGCCGGTGGCAGTTTGTCCATGGGATCCAGTACCGCAACCACCTCGAAGTCCACGCGTAGAGGAACTCCTGGCAGGACACTCGGCAGTCGGGCCAGTGCCTGCGGAATGGTGTAGTGGCGGCGATCCGCGTGGAGTAGGACCACCAGATTGGAGGCCATTTTGAAGGTGGACAGGTTCTGAACGGTGAGGTAGAGCCGAAATGCGGGTCCACTGCCGCAGACCTCGGCGGATAGCTTCACGGGGGCGTGGGTCAGGTCTCCGGATATCGTGCTTTCCGAGGAGTTGATGGCATCGATGGTTGCCCGGGCTGCCGTGTGGCGAAGGCGCCACAGCTCCACTTGGAAACTACCGTAGGTTGCTGGATTGGGGAATTAAATTTTTTAAGAATTTGTGGATTTCTGGATCTTAAAACTTATGGAAAACTACACCTAGTTCTGATTGAAATCCCCTCATTCTCAGAATGGTTACTTTGCAACTTACATTTGGCCTGCTGCTTCTCCCGTGCCGCCTGCTCCACAAAGATGGAGCTCTTTTTGGGCTTATCCAGAATCGTGGCATCCACGATGGATTTGTGATCGCCTAATGCTCGCTTGTTGGCCAGATCAGCGGGCTTGGGCTCAAAGCGAGTCACACGTCTCAGGATCTTGACCACGATTCCACCAGATTGAGTGACGAGGGTAAGGACATGATCCTCCATGCCCATCCGACCATAGAGCATGGCGTCCACCGTCTCGTCCAGAACAAACTCGTCGACCAGATAGCGCTGCAGATAGAACTTGACCACTCCTCCTCTGAGGGCAATGGCCACCAGGGTTAGTCCCAGATGGGTTAAGGGCAGCGGAAGGAGGCACACAGGTAAATCGGCCATAGGCACCTCGTACAAAAGCTTGCCCCGCTTTGAGTAACACAGATAGCGATTGTCCATGGTGGAGGCGATTATCGTCTGATCGATGGGCAGCAGTAGGAGACCGGTTAGAGGGATTCCAAGCTTGACAATCTCCTGCCCATCAGGCTGACTTTTCCGCAGGAGGTAGACACCGCCATTGCGCGTGGCCACCACGATGCAGAAATCCGTCTCAAAGGTCCCCTGTACGGAGATCAGGCTCGGCACGGCAGTCTCATCATCGCAGGCCTTGCCCTGGTAAACCAAATTGAAACCCTGCGGCTCCAGGATCAGGATGCGTCCAATATCGGTGGCCAGTACCAAGTGGGATGGCGGATTGGCATCGCTGGAGATGCGCTTTATGCAGCACATGGCCACAATACTGCCAATCCGACCCACTGGCGAGTCCTTGTGAGTGGCGATGAAGTTCTCCCGCTCCTGCTCGTCCATTTGCAGAAGGCGCTGCGATTTCCGCGACAGCTTGGCGTGGTCAATGGTTTTCAGGGAGTCCAGCAGGGCGGGATGTGCACTAGGCTTCACAACCGGCAGCTTGCGCCACACCTCCAGCTCCAGATCCTCGGAGACCTGTGCGGGAATTGTGTACTTGAAGTACGGCTTTAGGTGGCGATAGAAGAGCACTGACTCGGCAATGGCCACGGCAATGACTGGAAAATTTAAAATGATTAATGATGGGTAAATAGAGCTTTTTTAAAGAGTAAATGTACCCGGCGTTTTGGGCTCTGTTTCATCGATGTAGAGACTTTCGATGGCCGCGGGAATACCCGGCAGTGCCTGCTCCTGTTTGAGTTTTAGACCACGGAAAACCTTGAGCGTGGCACTGGGCTCCTCGGCGGCATTGTCCAGTGAAATGTCCGCCGCAAGCAGCCGGATATATCCGTCGCACTGCACGTCACTTAAAGCCATGCAACTGGACAGGGTGGTGAGATGCGGTGGAGGAGCCTCGGCCTCCGTGTCCACGTGAAGCCAGTTGGGAGCACCGGCCATGGCAGGATCTTGGTGAAAAGCTTGCAGCACAGTGTGAAAACGAACAGGTGATTCCTGACATGCGTTTGTTTTGGTTTTTCTTGTCCTTAGCAACCAGGCTGACCGCACATTTGAGGTTTGTTTTTAGGTTTATTGCTTAAAAACACTAAATTGGCATTAACTATTAAAAATGTTAGTTGTAAACGGGTAATAACATATTACTAAAAAAAGATGAAATGATCGAAATAAGGGTAATTGCGAATATGATTTTAATTAGCCGCCACAAATGAGTTTGTCTTGCGTTGATCTGGTCACACTTTATGCCGGCATGCTGCGGATGTGCAAGCATCGATAGTTTATACTATCGACAAGCAAGAGCACTTATTCGATAACCACTTCGATAGCTTGTCACGAAACACATTCGATATAAATACCACCTAGGAGACGCCAGACGTTGAATTCAATATTTAATATTTTGTATAACTAAGTGATTTACATAGACCCTAATTTGCTGCGAGTGATGGCCGCGCTGTGGGACGAGACGCCGCTCTTCCACAAGGGCGAGATAGTCCTTTGCTACGAGCCGGATAAATCGAAGGCCCGTGTTCTTTACACCAGCAAGGTAAACACACACACACGCGCGCACGCACACAAGCGCGCACTGAAGTGTCAAGCAAACGTCATAGGCGAAGTTTTCACAAATGATTTTCCGTTTCCTGCACTTATCCGCACTTGCCGCAGGTTCTCAACGTCTTTGAGCGCCGGAACGAACATGGGCTGAGGTTCTACGAATACAAGATCCACTTCCAGGGCTGGCGGCCCTCCTACGATCGCTGTGTGCGCGCGCCCGTCCTGCTGAAAGACACCGAGGAGAATCGCCAGTTGCAGAGGGAATTGGCCGAAGCCGCCAAGCTGCAGATGTAAGATAAGCCACTAGCTATGCGAGGAATACTTTCCCAACCAGTTCCCCCTTGTTTTCCACACAGTCGTGGTGACTACTCCTACAAGGGCACACCCGATAAGCCGGCGGCCAAGAAGAAGCGCGGTGGTAAGGCGGCACACGTTGAAGAGGCACTTGTGGACCCACTGGACACGGGACATCTTAAGGCGGAGCACGAAATGGCACCCACTCAACGAGCAGCAAGCAACCGGACGCGCGACAACAGCGGTGGCAAGCGGAAGGAGAAACCCGCGACCGGCGATAGCCGATTAAAGGGAAACCGGGGACGACAAACCGAGACCCACTATCACAACAACATAAATGATGTATCTGTCGATGGCCATGTGCCCCAGGAGGATCGCGTTATGATGCGCGTCAGCGAGCGATTGCGGGAGCTAATGGAGTACGATCGGAATATGGTTAAGGTACTGGGCAAACAGCACGCCTTGCCTGCCCGCGTGCCCATCGTGACTATCATGGAGAACTTCGTCAAGCAGCAGGCGGTGGAGCTAGCCATTAGCATCAAGCAGGACAGCTCGAGAGCCAGGAACACGCAGAGTCGCAATGCCCGAATGGAGCGGGAATACGATCGTGTTATGTCCAGGTTAGTTACCACCTTATATTAGACCTGGCAACCCACTAATTCTGTTATGTACAGCGTCTGCATGCTGAAGGAGGTGGTGGACGGATTGCGCATCTACTTCGAGTTTCACGTGGATGACCACTTGCTGTACAAAGAGGAGAAGGAGTACGTCCACAACTATCTCACAGACGTCAACATGCGCAACTGCAGTCTAATATTAAACAAGTCGTACGAGTACATCAATCCCAGCGGCGACACGGAACTGATCGGTCTGGACGGCACGCCAGTGGGGGAAGGGTCGGGCAACACCAATGGTCAGATCGGAGGTATTATTCTCGGCGGCCCGGAGTACGAGAAGCAGTTGCAAAAGTGCCTGCTCTACATTGTGACCACCAGTGGGAAGAACACTGCGCAGGCCTATGAAAGGACTTCTCCGTACACGGCTGCCTACAAACTACCTATGGAGATGCGCGGAATTCTTTACGAAACATTCAAGTGGCGGCTTCTATCAGCGGAATCGCCGCCAGAAAAGTCCATGGTTTTTGGAGCTCCTCACTTGGTTAGGCTGATGAGTATGTACCATTCTTTCGCATCCTATAGCACACATTAATTCATGGTACTTGCAGTAAAAATGCCTATGTTCTTAAACGCATCGCCCATCAGCAACAAGAAGCTTGAAGATCTACTTCCCCACCTCGACGCCTTTATCAAGTAAGTGTGAGACCTTCCTGAACCGTCCACAATCGAGCTAATCTCTTGGCTTTGCAGCTACTTGGAGAACCACAGGGAGTGGTTCGACAAGGATAACTATGTGAACTCCACTGCCCTGCCTCAGGAAGACCTGCAGCGGGAGTTGTTGGACTCCTTGGATGGCATTGCCGCTTAGCTTTAGTTGATCGGAGTTATCTAGTTTATTTATTATTAAGATTAAAGCTTATGTTCTTTTATTTAAAGATTTGTAATTGTCGTTTTGGTTTCTTCAACTACACACTTTGTAAACAACGCACTTCTATAAAAAAAGTCTTCTAATGTGATCGTATAATCGAATAATGCC